AAAGGTCTAGCGGATGCCTCGTGCACGACAGTAGGCTCGCAGAAGGCCAGAGGAGAACTCTCCACCTTGGTCAGAGTGCAGACGCAGGACAGGAAAGTCCGAGCCGAAGCTCCTCCTGAGCTGGAGACGAGCTGCGCGGATCCAGTCGATCAACACCTCAGTGACATCACCCTTGCTGCGCAAGGGGAAGACTGTGGTGCAACGCGAGTAGTCGTCAACCACCAGCAGGAAGTAGCGCTCGTGACCCTGTCCACGGACGCGGGCCGGGCCCCACAAGTCCATGTGAAGCGTCTGCAGAGGAGCCTCTGTCGGGGGAAACTGGGAGGAGTGAGGGGCAGCCCGGAGCCGCCCCTCGACACAGGGGACACAGGAAGGTCCTGGCCCCGAAGGAAGGGGAGGGAGAGACCGGGGGAGACCAGAGACAAGGAGACGGGAAGCCATGCCCCGAAGACGAGGCAAGGAGGGGTGGCCAAGACGGTGGTGGCACAGGAGAGTCTCGTGAGACAGGAGGCGACACGAGCAGGGGGCAGACTCAGGACCAGACCTGGACGCAGCAGCAAACACCTGACCCGACGCAGCTACCTGGCCAGACGCAGGGACAGGAGGAGACTCAGTGGTAAGGGTGTAGAGACTCGACCCCGGCCGACGCGAAAACGTGGCCAGGTGTCGGCCTGTGCGGGCGTCCGAGTAGTGGGTCACTCGCTGACTCGCAGGAGTAAACTGGTGGACCCCCCCATCCTGCAGGTCAGCACCACTCACCAAGTTCGTCGAGAACGAGGGGAGGTACAGACCAGACAGGGTGCCCGATGGGACAGCCGGATACGGGAGGATAGTGGAGAAGTGAGAGAGGACAGGTCCCCCAGAGGGGTCAGCCAGGGAGACTGCAACCGGCCGACCAAGCGGCGTGAGTGTGGTGCGGTCTCGAAAGAAGGAGCGAGAAGCCCCTGAGTCAAGTGTGAAGGTGAGGGACGCCGAAGCTGACGCAGTACCTGAGAGCGCAGCCTCACCAGTACCTGAGAGCGCAGACGCACTGGCACCTAGAGCAGCAGCCTCACAAGCACCTAGCGCAGCAGTACCAATGCCCGGGTCGGGCGGGAAACACCGGTAACAGTCACCCTCATCACTAATAGTCACAGCATATATGGCAGCAAGGATAGCATCAAAGTCAAGATCAAAGATAGTTACGCCAGCCCTAGACAGCTCTCCCCAGCGGGGAATCTCACTAGCCTCGGGGATCTGCTGACGCCAAGCGTCCGTCAGGCGGCCAAAGCAGCGCTGGGTGGGGTGGGCACCACCACACTGCTCACCCGCGCGGTCGCCGGAACGAAGAACGTAGGTGCACGGACCAAAACCCCCACCACGCTGACGCTGTGCGTACCACTCACGGAGCTACTGAGGCGGGGGGATGTCCCGAGAACGCTGCTGTTGCTGCTGCTGCTGGCGCTGACCACCACCAGAGCCGCTCCGCTGCGGGGCACCACCCCGACCAGCTCCACCCCCTCTGCCACTGCCGCCTCCACCTCCGCCACCACCGCCGCCTCCGCTCCCACCGCTGCCGCCGCCGCCGCCTCCGCCTCCGCTGCCGCCACCACCACCACCACCCCCGCCACCACTCCCACCGCCACCCCCACTCCCTCCGCCGCCTCCACCGCCACCTCCACCGCCCCCGCTAGCTCCACCCGCGCCCTTGCCCCCCTTGCCCTTGCCAGGTCGGCGTCTCCCGCTAGGGGCAGACGCCGCGCCGACCGACTCAAGACCAAGTAGGTCGGCAGCAGCAGAAGAGGCAACAGAGGGCAGCAGGGGGGAAGGAGAACACCCCTCAAAGATGGGGGTGCGAGGGTCACCCCGAGAGGCTCGTACAGCGACGATGCTCTTCTCCGCCGCCAGGAGGGCCTTCTCGAGGAGGTCAACAGTGAGAGTGGTGGGACAGACTGAGAGAAAGTGGTCCCTGACTACGCGAAGGGAGTCAAGGAGGCGTGTGACTATGTAATAGAGAGTGATGTACATGGGGGGGGGGGGGGTTCTTGGCGCAGAACTCAGCAGGAAGTGCGGCGCGGTAGCGAGTGTCACTAGTGCGGAGGTGCGTAATGAGGTCGGCGACTGTGGGAAAGGCAGCAAGGTCAGGAAAGAGGTACGGTAGCATGAGGCGGCTTAGTGCAGCAGTGGCAGGAGAAGAGTAGCGCGCAACTACAGCGTCGTACAAGGTTTGAGCACTCTTGTACTGACTAAAGTGCGCGCGCTCAGTGGTAGGCAGGTGGCGACGCACAGCAAGACGTGCAGCAGCATCGCAGGTGGCCCACTGAGAGCGAACAGTGGGGTCAGCGTCAGTAGCAGGGGCAGGAGAGGCGCCAGAGGTGAGGTCAAAGAGAGAAAGACCGTCCGCCCTATCGCACTGTAAAAACAGCTGCAGGTCGTCGACCCAGACCTCAAAGTCAATGGCTCGACCCTCAGCGTCAAAAGTGAGGACACTAGGGGTAGCCATGACGACGATAGACTAGCAGTGCAAGCAGTAGGGGAAGGGCACGCAGTGACAGTGGGGCTGCGCTCACCGGACAAGGCAGGTCGGGCGGCTCGGCTGCTGGGCGGCTCGGCGGCTGGGCGGCTCGGCGGCTCGGCGCTCGGCTGCTGGGCGGCTCGGGTGCACAGCGGCTCGGCGGCTGGGCGGCTCGGCGGCTCGGCGCTCGGCTGCTGGGCGGCTCGGCTGCACACCGGCTCGGCTGCTGGGCGGCTCGGCTGGTGGGCGGCCGGGCGGCTCTGCAGCTGGGCGGCCCGGCTCCTCCGGTACTCGGCGGCGCGGCGGTCGGCTGCTTGGGTGCACGCTGCAGGGTGGTGCTGCGGTCGGCGGCTCGGGTGGCGGGCAGGAGAGGAGAGCGGCAGGGCCGCAGCAGACGGGCGGCGGGGCCCCAGGTGGAGGGCGGTGGGGCCGCAACAAAAGGGCGGCGGGGCCGTTAGAGTCGGGCGGCGGGGCTGCGAAAGCAGGGCGGCGGGGCCGCGGGGTGTAGGGCGGCGGGGCCGCTAAAGCAGGGCGGCGGGGCCGCGAAATGAAGGGCGGTGGGGCCGCGAGGTGTAGGGCGGCGGGGCCGCTAAAGCAGGGCGGCGGGGCCGCGAAGTGTAGGGCGGCGAGGCCGCGAAGTGTAGGGCGGCGGGGCCGCGAAGTGTAGGGCGGCGGGGCCGCGAAGTGTAGGGCGGCGGGGCCACTGAAGCAGGGCGGCGGGGCCGCTAAAGCAGGGCGACGGGGCCGCTAAGGAAGGGCGGCGGGGCCGCTAAAGTAGGGCGGCGGGGCCGCGAAATGAAGGGCGGCGGGGCCGAGAAAGCAGAGCGGCGGGGCCGCTAAAGCAGGGTGGCGGGGCCGCGAGGTGTAGGGCGGCGGGGCCGCGAGGTGTAGGGCGGCGGGGCCGCTAAAGCAGGGCGGCGGGGCCGCGAGGTGTAGGGCGGCGGGGCCGCTAAAGCAGGGCGGCGGGGCCGCGAAATGTAGGGCGGCGGGGCCGGTAAAGCAGGGCGGCGAGGCCGCGAATCAGGGGCGGCAGGGCCGCGACAGTAGGGCGGCAGGGCCGCTAGGGGAGGGGAAGGCCGCTAGGGCGGCTCGTCGAGTTAACAGCCCGAGGCGCGACTCGGGATGAGCGCGCTTCGGGCAGTAAAAAAAAATCGAAGTGGTGGGCCCTAGGCGCAGTTCCCACAGGGGAACCTGCTCGATACCATGAGAGAAGTTGAACGAGAATGGGAATGACTAAGTGAAAGTTGGGTACAAATACAAACCCTAGAAAACTGTACCCCATATGTGCTACCCCACTATAGCCTACAATAGCTATGTCATATATATCTGACAATCCCATGCTGTCGTGTTGTGTTGGTGTGCCGGATGAAATGACGATCGGTTCGTCCGATTGTGCAGATGCATTTGTCGATGCGTGTGGTGGCGCTGGAGTATTCACCGTGGATTGCTGACGCGCGGAGTCACGTTCCGCCGTGAGCGTTGGAATTTCGAGCGCCGATTCTTCAACTTGGCGTACCAGACGGTCAAGCTGCTCCTGCGTCAACGTCGCGAGCGTGAATTCGGCCATGGCAAGGGTGTCGCGCGAGCTCAGCGAGAGCCTCTGTCGTGGCCTTCGTGCTTACGAGAGAGCACTACAAGCGGCGGTGCTGTGTCGCTGAGAGACGTCTACCCCCCCAAAAAAATCGAGATAGTGGGGAAGCGAAGGTGTGGGTGCGGTCCGAGGAGAGATCGTAGGCTCTGAATACCAAGTGTTACGTGTGCAATTGAGTGAGCGATTGAGGATTGCACTATCGAAGCAAGAGTCCAATGAGCGAAGGCATGAGCGAAGAATATATAGCGAAACTACAATGGTAACGGTAATGAACTGTGGTTGTCGCGCGACGGGCCTGGGACTGAGGTTGGGGAAAATGTCGAAGCAAAAGGCCCGGAGCGCGGGTTACCCGCCGAGCCGTGAGGTCGGGGTGCGACGTGCGAAGGTGGCGGGAGGATTGTCGATGCAATGGTTGCGAGTGGTAACGGTGCTGACTGTGGTGCTACAGTGGTGTACGCGCTGAGCGGGGACGCGAAGGAAAAGGAATTTCCCTTACAACAATATATCAATGAGCATCAATCTCTAAATAAAGAAAAGCTACATACGGTATTGCATTGTCCAATACCAACGGCTTCTCTATCCATCCGTGCCCTTGAATTGATGCGGGTTTCTCTATTTGTTCGCTTCACCTGCTTCACATAGGGCACTCTAGCTTTCCCCTGATTGCTACCCAGATCCACCCCATTTTGTCTCCACTGTCCATCCATGCCATTTTGCATCCAGCCCAAAACATAACCACATATCTACCTCCCACTTCTCCCACAGCCAGTCCCCACCTGTGCCTCCAGAGGTGCTCTCTTTTCTCCCACCCACAGCAGCCCCTCTCTTCCGACACAACAGCCATGCCTCTCTTTCTGCATCGCCAAGGCAAATAGAAAGCCCACAGCACACGGCCCAGCCAGCAGCACACAGCAGTCATGAGCAAACGGCCTGGGTGGTTTCGCAGTCGGCCAGCACATCCAAGCAGTTTTCCTCCACCTTCAGCCGCGTGGGGTAATCCGCGGGGCAAACACCCTGGATGATTGGCGACCCCGAGAACGAGTTGTTCCGCACGTCTAGAATGAACGTGCTGAGGGCTCCCAGAGCCGGCTGCGGCAGAGGCCCTGTGAAGCTGTCTCCTGAGAGCACCAACCGGGTCAGATTCGGCAGGTCGTTTATGCTGACCGGAAAATAACCTCCAAGGTCCGCATTACCACTTAAATCCAAGCTCAAGAGCTCTGACAGGTTTCCCAGCTCTTCAGGCAAGGTACCGTTGAGCGCGTTAGCGCCGAAGTGGAAGTATTTAAGCTTCGTGAGCGTGCTTAGAGACACGGGGACCTCGCCAGCTAGCAGATTCCGCCCGAAGAACAGCCCTTCGATGTTCTCGAGGATCGGCCAGTCGTAGTCCGCCATCTGTCCGTCGATGCCGTTCCCAGCAAGGTTCAGGCTGGTCAGGTCGCTCATTAGCACGATTTCCGTCGGGAGCGATGCGATGTGGTTCCCCGCCAAGTCCATCGCGACGACGCCTGCGCCCGAGGCGGGGAAAGTGATGGGCATGTCGGCTAACAAGTTGACGCTTGCCGAGAACGTCAGGTTAGACGAGCTGCCGTCTATTTCCGGGAACATTGCCGGCAGGTCCGTGAAAAAGCATTTGTCGAAATGGCCGAACTGCAGATTTGCGAGGCGACTGAACTCGTCGGGAATTTCTCCTGAGAGGTAAGTATTGGACACGTTTAGAACCTTGAGGTTGGTAAGCGCGCCAATGGACGGTGAAAGCGGCCCGCTGACGAGTGTCTTGGAGATGTCGAGGTAAGTCAGCTGCGTGAGGTTCCAGATGTAGTTAGGGTTCTTGTTGAAGAGGTTGCTCGAAAGGTCTAGATGCTGTAAGCGAGTCAGCTTGGAGAGAGTCGTCGTCAGCGGCCCGAGCAGGGCGTTATTCGCGAGGTTCAGCATCTGTAGATGCGACAGACCCGATAAGCTAGAATGTATTCCCGCGACGGGGCTTTTTATACCGGAGCTGTTTAAAGCAAGTTTGAGAACGTTTCCCACGGGACCGCAGGCGACGCCGACCCATTTCGAGCAATCGGCGCCTTTCGCCCACGAAGTGGAGCCAGTGAATCCGCTATAAGCACCCTTGAGAGCTAATAACGCGTTCTCCTGCGATGGTTTGATCTTGACTGACGAAACCAGGCGATCGGAAGGTGAAGGGAGAAAGAAGAGGAGGAAGAGGGTGTAGATTAAATGCGGCTTCATGGTGTCTACAATGCGGCGCGGTTCTGGTAGTGAGGAGCGGTAAGGGGCGGTTCATGAGGATATGGGACGCTCTGTCGACATCGAGCTGCTTGCGGCAACGTTCGAGCGCGCATAAATTCGTTCCAGACGGCTTCACTTAGTGCAGATAACCGCCACATGTAACGTCACAAAATGGCTGCCGGAAACACTTGGTCCGTGACGCCAGTGTCTCTGCGCTGCTCTAGTAGTAAGCGAGAAATCTGGGAGTTGTTAGGTGCTGCTGACTCACTGCACATTACGGGCGATTAGGACGCGGTCAAAGTGCAAATTTCGCAGGATCGTCTGCACATATCGATCCCCGCAATCGATTGAGCAGATCGATTGGCGAAGCGTGGCGATCGCGACGTTGTAACGATCGCTACTGAGATTTGACAGACCTCCCGCGATCAGTGATCAGTCGCATTCACACGATGGACAAAAAAATTGGCCAAAAAGCGTTTTGTAGCGTTTTGTGTAGTGAAAAGGGTAACCGATCCGCACAACGATCGTGACGGACAACTGATCGTCTACTTTTACCACGTCCTTAGGGAGGGCTTGGGTTGGGTGGTGTTGTGTCGTGTTTTCGGTTGAAGCTTGCTGCACCTTTTTCTCCCAATCTGTTGTTTGTTGTGCAGTGTGTGCGTGTATCGAGCGTAGTTACCGGGGTAGGTCGTGCCTGCGGGGGATGGACAAGAGGAGCGAGGAGAGGCACCACCTGTGCAGATGTACAGGTTGGGAACAAGGAAGAGGGGAGAATGGTGTGTGTGGGGGCAAGAAGGTTTGGTGGGATAATGGGGATTGTAGGGGTTTTTGAATTGAGCAAAGATGGTCGGTGCTTAGTCGCAGGTGGGTGGGGGAGTTGCATGGTTATGGATCTGCCAAGGGGATCAGGTGGAATTGCAGGTGGTGCGGGTGAAGGAGAGATGTCGCTGTTGGGAGAGCAATGACTTGTTCGGTTTTGAATTTGCTTCGATATAGATTATAGGCTGTTTTATCTCAAGTTCTGTATCGTGCTGTTGAAGTGCTGGCAGCAGAAAACGACAACGCAGCCGCTTTCTGGTCGCGCTCGAGATATTTTGCGGCTCGAAGGGGGAAGGAGGCCGGGTTCGGGCCAGGGCTGACGATTCAAGGGCAAATGCCCTTAATGCCCTGAACATTAAGGATTGGGTTCGGCCCAGCTTCCGAATTTTAAGGGTTGGATTTAAGGGCAGCCCGTCCCCGTTAAGTGCTGGTTGTGGGCCTAACCCGGATTTCAAGTGCAGATCCCGCGGCTAGCCCTTATCGTCCCATACTAATACCTCCCTCCCTTCCATTCCCTCACCAGTCCACTCGCCTCCTCCCAGCCATTCCCCTACTTTTCCCATCCCTGTCAAATCCATCGACATGTTTCGTACCTCAGCCTATTGCTTAGCTGGCTCTTAGTAGTTTGCCTAAGATAACGGACCCGAAGAGATGTGGGGTTTCCTTAGCGAAAGTGCAAAAAAGTTGCTAGCCCTGATTTCAAGTGCCAGGTTTGCTCTCAGCCCGTAAATTTCAGGGCAACTTTTGGGGCACCTCAGCCTCTCAAGTTCTGGCTCCAAACCAATCGACAGCCCTGGTTCGGGCCCTGTCTGACCAAACCAGCTCCGACCGCCACCAGCTCATTCATACACCCTGTTTCGCGCCACACTGACATTCGCCATATTGACAAGCCGGCTGTACTGACATCAATGCGTCCAAATTGGTCCCAGAACATACCGTATAAGCACTTTTGCCGCACGAAACCGAACTCAAAAGCACGTTTTTTCATAAACCGTTGTCTACCGTTCTCCTGAAGTGCATTTCGGTTGCAAGCACCAGCCCGCTGAATCCAAGCACACGTGCGCATGTAGCCGGGGCTCCCGATTGTTCAAACATCGAGAAACAGGGTGTACGTGGATAGAAGCACGCTTGGAAACACAAGTCATCGGGGAAATCCCTAACCAAACAGACCGAGCCGAATGGCGCACTTAGGCTGGGTACCAGTTTAGGGAACTCGGAAACTCCTAACCAGATTCAAGGTCCCGGACCAGGGGGATCGAGCTTGTTGGCAAGTTAAACACCAATCAGCAGTGTCGTAAGGGCGCCAAAGCAGCAGCCGCCTACGCCGACCGAACCGTTCCGTACATGCCATCCTGCCATTCCCCCATTACCCCCCCTGCCCCCCCTACCTCCCGCGGGGATACATGCCTTCCCCACCTCCAAGCACGCCAAGCAATTAGCACCTCCATTTCTCCATCCCGACAATTCGTTCCCAGATACAAAACGACTCGCTGTTCCAGATTCTTGTTATCTTCATTCCCGATAATCCGTTTTGCCGATTCGTCAAAGCAACTTTCTTTATTTCGTCGACAAATAATTTTAGCCAGACAAGATGGGTCGAAACATTCCTGTCATTATACTTTTGGTATCACTGCTCGTGTCGTCCCATCTCCACGCGAACGCAGCAGTAATAAAACCGTACCAGCAAAAAGCGATGCTGAACGCCAAGAGCGCGTACGGCAGCTTCAAGGGAAGTTCCACGTGGAAGGCGGGCGCGGACTGCTCCACGTGGCAGCGTGTGCAGTGCAACAGCGCGGGTGACGTCACGCACCTCCACCTCGCGAACGCGATGATTCGCTCCACGGGCGTCGGCATCGCGCCGTCCCTCTCCGTGCTCACGAAGCTCGCCTTCCTCAGCCTCTACAACAACAGCATCACCGCCGAACTCGGAACCGTCCTCTCCACCCTCACTTCCCTGAAAACCCTCAACCTTCAGCTGAATCGCTTTTACGGGAGCGGCTCGAGCAGAATCTGGAAATTAACTCAGCTCACGTACCTCGATATCTCCCACAATCTGCTCGTCGGGCCGCTCGGCGCGGGGCTTGGCGCGCTGACGAACCTCGCGTACCTAGACGTGTCGTCGAACTACTTCCGCGGCGCCATGCCCGCGTCGTTCAGCAACCTTGTGAAGCTCAAATACAGCGACTTCAGCGGCTGCTTCTTCACGGAGCTGCCGCCCGCCTTCCCCGAGCTGGACCCGGGCAACTTGACCTTCGCCGCGAAAAGCAACCTCATCATGAGCATCCCCATCACCTTCCCCGCGTCCGCCGCGGGCGTGTTCAGCATCGACCTGTGGGGGAACCTGCTGGCGGAGCTCCCGACGGAGGTGGCGCTGCTGACGGAGCTCAAGGTGCTGAACCTCGCGGCGAACCGAATCACGACGCCACTGGAGGACATCGCGTGGAGCGAGCTGGTGGCGCTGGAGGAGCTGTACCTCGGCCGCAACGCCATCACCGGCACCGTCCCCACGGACCTCGCGGCGCTCACTGGGCTGAGGCACCTGCACTTCCACACGAACCTGCTCACGGGCTCGCTGCCCGACGAGCTGACGCTGCTCACGGACCTTGTCTCGCTGGACATCGGACTCAACGTGGCTCTGGGCGACAAACAAGATTTTCCCGCGGGGTTCAGTGAGCTGCAGTCGCTGACGCGGCTGGTGTTGATTGGGGATGACTTTGCCGGGCTTCTGCCGCAGCCGTACTTGGGGGCGGAGCCGGGGTTCTACCTGGACGTGCGGAACAACTCGTTCACGGGGTCGCCCTTGGTGCGGGATGTGTGCCCCAACTCGCGGCCCAACCGGCTGCGCGTGGCGTGGAACTGCCTGGATGACGAGACGGACTGCTCGACCAGCCAGCGCGTGTGTGCGAGATAGCTGGGTAGGATCGTGGGGTTAGGGGGCTTCTTAGGACGCCAGCACAAGAGGGTTACCTGGGGGTGATTGGAAATAAAGAGATACAGATGGCTGGAGTTACTAGGTTAGTTCAGCTTTGTTTCGCTTACCATTTGTCTATATAGAATGTAGTTACATTATGAGGAATACATCTCCATTGCCCTGAAGAGCCCTCTGTTCCTCAAATCCACATGTCTTGCGACAGGCTCTCCATCAAGCTCTTGCATCAGTGTCAACCTTCCTGTCTAATGCGGAGGGATTAATCATTAGTCAAGACAGGTATTGGAGCACCGGGTACAGAAGCTTTGTCAATTCACACATCACTGGTTATAGTGCGGTGTCGGATAATTAATAGCGAGTTTTTCAAGCCCTGCCGCAGTTTCCAGTTACGACCGGCACTGTTGGATTCGATTGGGCCTCGGTCGAACATGCACTTCGAGACAAGATGAACGAACTTGAATTTGCTCTGGCCAGACCACACGCTAGCGGAGACATCCGAGCCAAGCCAGGCAGCCTCGCCTGGCGGCACCGAGCCGCTTCCGGTCTGGGTGGATTCGACTTGACACACCTCCGCAACTTTCCCCTCATCCACCCCGGGGCGCAGGTGGTCTGGCGGACCTGCAGTTGTTGCTTGGAACAAAAGATGGTTTGGTTTGGGGGCGGTAACGAATTTGCGGAGTCCTCTTGCGGGAGCCCTAGCTTGGTGCAACTAACGCGCGTACAATTCAAGTTTGCGCGTCCTCTCCCCCCACCAGCACCATCTCGCTTCCCCCCGCCAGTGTCGACGGGAAACACGAGTCGCACACAATCGTCTTCATCCTTTCTATGGTGCTTTCCCTCACTTTACATGACTACTTGTGATGGTTAGACAAAAACCGTCACTTTCAACGCTCCCTCCGCAGCGCCGCTCGCGCATCCACTTGTCTCGCACGCCATCAGGCCCCGCCGCCCACCTCCTAACAGCGTGCCGTACAATCACGAAAGCCGCCGCTTCTCTCAGAGCGGCCCACTTCCACCCGTTCCACTATCGCTTCTCTGTGTTCACCTTACTCAAATCCATGTTATATAACAGGCTGTGTTCATGTATAGGACTTCACAAACTTGCTACTACGGTACTTCTCTTAGTCTCTCGCGCCGACGAACCCTCTCCTTAGCCATGAAGCGTTCACGCGGCAGTAGCGACAGAATCTCGTATTCCCATGGGAACAGTCATCGCTTCACCCTTCTCCTGCTGTTATCCGCTTTCCTCGTTATTGGCCTCTCCGGTAGCAGCCCTGCACGCGCGCAGACCATCAAACCGCCGCAGGAGTCGGCGCTGCTGAGCCTCAAAACGGCCTTCGGATACTTCACGGGGAGCAGCACGTGGGGCGCGGGGAAGCCCTGCGCGAACTGGCTGCGCGTGACGTGCAACTCCGCGGGGGACGTGCTCCGCCTCAACTTCACTTCCGCTAGCATGCGCTGGAAGACCGCGGGGATCCCCATCGCGCTCACGAACCTCACCAATCTCGACACCCTTATCCTCGCCAATAACGAGATCGTCGCACCGATTCCGTGGTACTTATCGAAGCTGCCGAAGCTGAAGCGCCTCGACCTAAGCAACAACACGTTCTACGGCGGAACGAATCAGATCTGGACGCTCACCAAGCTCACCTTCCTCGACGTTTCCAAGACGCTCCTCCGCGGCGCGCTTCCGCCCGCCATCAGCGGATTGGCCAATTTGGTGGTTCTCAACGTCAGCGATTCATATTTCTCTGGACCAATCCCGGACGCGTTTTCGAGTCTGGCGAAGCTGCAGTTCGGCCAATTGGACCGCTGCTTCTTCACCGCCCTCCCCGCCGCGCTTCCAGAGCTCGTGGATGGCGCGTTCACCTTCACGGCCTCGGGAAACCTCTTCTCGGACATTCCCGCCACCTTCCCCGCATCTTCCGCCGCGGTTGACACGCTGGACCTCTCGTCCAATCGTATCACTGCCCTCCCGACGGAAATCTCCCTCATGAGCGACCTGCGCCAGCTCAACCTGGCCAACAACCAGCTAAGCATCGCGCTGGCTGACGTCACCTGGAGCGGGCTTCCGAGCCTAGAGGTGCTGAACCTGGGGTTTAACGAGATCACGGGTTCGATTCCTGCTGAGGTCAGTGACCTCTCCAACCTCAAAACGCTGCAGCTGCAGAACAACACCCTCAGCGACGCAGTTCCCGATGAGATTGGATCGCTGGTGAATCTGACAGCGCTGGATCTGAGCAACAATGGCCTCACGGGCGATCTCCCAGATAGCCTCAACGCCCTCTCCTTCCTGCTGCGCCTCGTGCTCGCTAATAACCAGTTAACCGGCCCACTGCCCCAGCCTTACCTTGGCGCCAATAGCAAGTTCTTTCTGGATGCCCGAAACAACTTGTTCACGGGGTCACCGCGCGTGAAGGGCATTTGCCCGAATGCGCGCCCGGCAAAGCTACTGGTGACAGGGAATTGCCTGGATGACGAGCAGGGGTGCACCACGGTGCAGAACACATGCGGGTGAGGGAGAGCATGGGGCCGGGGCTCTGCTGCAAGCCATGGGGTCATGGCTTCTGAGTGCAGCTGACCAAGGCTTGTGAGCTGTTGCAAGCTGTTGTTTTTCGTGTGGGATCTCTTTGGAGTTTATCGTGAAACCATGGTGCTGATTTGGGGGAAGAGGGGGGAGGAGGGGACAAGGGTTTGAGAAATCGTTGCGGAAGTTGCTGAGGGGTGAGCTGCTGCTGATCGTGCAAACCATTTTGCTGCTTCAAACTCAGACAGTTCTGGGAATAAATGGTAGTGGAGAGGGAGTATGGTGCTGGTGCATTGTCCAGTCATTGTGCCGCGGCATGGATAATGCATGGTTCATGCTGGATGCAGCCTGCTGGTTAATACTGAAGAATTGCCTGACAGTAATTTTGTGGCTTATTTCAAACATACTCGAGTATGGCAAAAACCCCAGAAAAAACATTTCCAGAGGGTGCCAACACATCCATGGAAAGGTGAGGAGCCAGTTGCTCCTCTGGGGTTGGATGGAAATCATCTGGCACTTCAAGTTCCAACTTCCAGGTGCCCATAGTTTTTTTATCTCATAAAGTGGCTGCATAAATACTTACTGCATTTGATGTCCACGCCTCGCATTAAATATGCACACACTTGATTTTGATCTTAGTCTTAAGTACACGCTTATTCCATTCGGACTTGTTACGGTTATTATGGACTTCTGCGTTCTTATTTGTGCCTGCGATTTTCGTCTTGAGGACGTAACCCGCTCTTAGAATGTCGCAAGCTTGTTAGGTGCAATGTCAGCTCACCTCGACCCACCATTGGTTCTCGCTCCTGCACCACCAATAATTCAAAACGCGTTGCAACGGACGAGATTACCCTATCCCGAATCCAAGGGTCTCCATCGTTACTCGGCCAGGCTGAGCTGGGTGGGCGAGGGCAGGTTGCGGAAGGTGGCGGAGTGGGCGCAAGTTATGCGGTTTGACGACGGGGGCCGACTTCGAGTTTGACGCGTTTTCCGCCTGCTTTCACCCGCCGTCGCATTTTTTCCGCGGATTCGCATTCTTGGCTCATCTCACCCAATCACCCCCTTCCCATTCCAATAATTCACTTCGCGCCTCTCAAAGCTATTGCATCTTACACACCAACCTGGGCATGAAGCTGCGCCTTCTTGAGCTCAGGCCCTCCAACAGAGGTCGCAGCTATTCTCGCCAATGTTGAGCTATCACGTGGGACGAGTCTGCATCGTCCGCATTCGTCTTAGTACGCGTTCTGGCAATAAACTAATTTACCTTTGACGCCATCGTAGCTCCGGGAACGTGACGAATAGCGGCACGTACCAGGCACGAATTCGAGCAACTTGGGCTCATGCCCGGCGCACCTCGCGCGCGCCGCAATACGAGCCCTGATCCTCTGAATTCTAGACCGTACCGTACACGAATTTCGTAGGTCTGACCGCTGCCACGTGGCACGATGACGGATATTAGCCCAACAGTCCTGATCGATGAGTGGCTGCCAGTTTCCCCGCCTCCAGCCAGCGCCACTGTCGCCGCGAGCCACGCAAACGACTCAATCCAGATCGTCGCTTCTCACCCCGCCGCCTTCGCCAGCGCCCTCTCCTCCCCGCCGGCCAAAGCGGCCGACACCGGCGGCAGCGGAGCGACGGCGAGAAAGCGCCGCCGTGAGGCCTTGGCGGGTGCCGGCAAGCAGCCGAAGCGGACGAAGGGGAAGAAGGAGAAGGCTCCGTTGACCGAGTCAACCGTCGCAACTGGCGGTGAGTGGAAGCAAGTGGACGCTCTGAACGCGAGCGCCTCGGATTCTTGCGATCAACCTGAGAGTGCTCCGTCGTCCCCCACTGCCCCCGCCTTCCCGCGCGACGGATTAGCCGCGCAGCGCAAGCGCGGCGGGGATTCGGCCAGTCTCGCGGCGCAGGCTCCCGCGCCGATGAGTCTTGATACGAGCGCACGCGCCAATCGCGGCGCGAAACAGAAGGCAGATGTTGCTGTCGGGCAGCCTCTGGCGAAAAAGTTGTTGCAGCGACGTTCGCTACTGCCTTCTCCAGCGCCCATCTTTCGCCAAACGCTCGGGGAGCTTTGGAGCTTTCTTGACCCCACGTTCAGTGCCTCCGAACCTGCTTCCAGTCTTGAGCAACCGACCAAGTCCGGACCGAGCCAGAGCTTCAGCCTCGGGCAGGAAGCAACCACCAGCGAGCCGCCTACTCCGAGCGCGCAGAGCTGCCTTCAGCGATGCCCCACGGACGCGGCGGCTGCGGAGGGGGATGCAGCAGAGGCGAATGGTTCGGGATCTGAGGGCGCCGCGGGCTTGATCTGCGCGCAGGCGAGCGGCGGTTCGGCAGATGCGGAAGAAGGGTCGCTGGGCTCAGTGATTGGCGGCGAGAAACGCGGAGCGTCAAAGACGGCGTCAATGTCGGCGTCCGCGAGAGCGCGCAGCAACGGGGGCGCCATTACGGCGAGGCAGGTGGCGGTGTTGCGGGAGGCGGTAGCAGCGGCTCACTCCGCGGGGACGGCGGTCGTCGCGCCCGCGGGGAGCTCCGCCGCGGATGGGGGGGCTTCGATAGGCCAGCAGGGCGCGGGAGACGGGGGAAAGCGGCGCGCGCGAAGGCCGTTCTCGCGGCAGGGCAGCTCCAACGCGCCGCACGTGGCCGCGCGCAATGGCAAGGCGGCGGGCGCGCGTGGCGCGCAGAGGGACGCCGCAGATGGCGCGGAGGTGGCGCGAGGGGAATCAGCAACGCCGGGACGGTCGCTGGGCTCCGCCGCGGCTCCTGCTTCCGCCTCTGCTGCTGTGCCCCCTCCTGCTGCTGCTGACCTGTCTGCGTCCTATGCTGACGTGTCTGCGTCCCAGGCTGACCTGTCTGCTTGCAAAGGTGGCGCCCCTCCCGGTTCGCATGCACCTGCGCCTCTCTCTCCCCGTCCCGCACGCCCTACCTCCCCACCCCCACTCTCACCCGCCTCCTCACCCCCTCTTGCCGCCCCTTCACTCCCCTCGCCCATCTCCCCACCGCAACCACGCCCTCACGTGGACGGCAGCAGCAGCAAGAGCCTGCTGGCCGAGCTCTCGTTAGAGTCACCCGCTCTAGGCCCACAGGGCCCCTCGTTTGAATCACAACTGTATGAATCGCCCGATTGGAGCGGCTCTCCAGCTCTCTCGTTACAGGCACACTCCATGCCGTCACTGTGGCCTGACGAAGGCACTTCGGACCTCCCACGCATGCCTCTGGCCTGCGCTGGCGAGCAAGGCTCGGGCGCCGCGCCGAACCTGCTGCCGAGCCTGGAGTGGCAGATGGCCACAGGTTTGGAATCCAGGGAGCAGGCCGAGGTGGACTGGGCTCGCCTGCCAGACCTGGACGAACTGCCGAGCCCCTCGCCTCCGCTACCGATCATGGATCCGAGCCTGGCACCGAGCCTGCCGGCCAGCCTGGATGGGGTGGCAAGCCTGGCATACTGTGAGCAAGGGGGAATCAGCGCGGGGTGGCGACCAGCGCAAGAACAACAGCAGCAGCCCGACCTGCAAGAGCAAGAGCAGCAACGGCAAGAGGGGGGCCTTGAGGAGTGGGCACAACTACATGGCTCTGAGAAGATTTGTGGGAATGGGGATGGAAACGCGGAAGGCGCGGTGGAAGGCGGCAAGGGAGGCGCCGTGGAGGGCGCAGAGGCCCACGAGGCAGCGGTGAGTGCGGAACAGAGAGGTATGACGGACGGTGGTGAGCGGTGGAGTGCACACGATGGGGGTCCTCTGGCAGAGCCCACTCTGCCTGAAGGTGCACCGATGAACCAGCCCTGTTTCCTGATTGGCCAGTCCCAGCCATCGCAGCCAATGAGCACGGAGGAGGCTGCCAGCGTGGCACCAATGGACTTTGAGGCAGCTGCCAGCGTGGCAGTGAGTGCAGAGCTGTGGGATTCGCCTCACGCCATGAACGCCAGTGGCCTGGAGGGGATGGAAGGTGAGGAGGGAGGAGGAGGGGTGTGGGAGGAGCTGGACGTGGTGGTGTGCGGTGTGAATGGAGTTATGAGGGGTGCTGGTGACATGGAGGACAGGGGCGAGGGGGTGAGAAGGGAGTGGGACCTGGCTTCGGTGGTGCGCGAATGCACAGCGGCCTGCCTCTCCCCCACGCCACCCACCGCTGCTCCCCCTGCTGTCATCGCACCTCCTCAACCTCCCGCACTCACCGCCCCTCTCGCCTGCCTGCCTACTGCTGCCGCCTCTCCATCCCCCAGCAGCGGTGGCAGCATGGGCGGCAGTTGCTTAAGTCCCCATCCCGCTCATCTCGCTGTGCCTGCCTCTGTGCCTTTGCCTGCTGCTGCTTCTTTGGCTGCTGCTGGCATTGCTGTTGCCGCCCCTGCTGTTGCTACTCCACCCACTGCCATCCAAGCTGCCACAACGTTTCCACTTGCTACTGCTGCTGCTGCTGCTGCTGCTGCTGCTGCTGCTGCTGCTGAGATCAGCCCTCACCCCCTTGCCTCCTCCGCTCCTTCTCTCGCGTCTCCCTCGCTCCCTCTCGACCCCCGCCAGAGCAGCTGGGCGGCAGCGTGCCAGGCGGCACACCGCCGCCCAGAGAGCAGTAAGGCCAGCTCTTCTGTCTCTGCTGGTACTACTGCTGCTGGCACTGCTGTTTCTGGCACTGCTGTTGCTGCCGCCATCCCGCCTCCCCTGCCAGGGCGCGCTCTCAGCTGCAGCAGCCTCTCTCTTGCCCGCTCTCATGCCCCCACCCGCCCTCCGCTCGACCGCACCCTCAGTGGCAGAGCGCCGGCAGCAGTGCTGCAGACGCAGTCACAGGGAGCAGCGCACACACCGCACACAGGCCGGGGCAGCAGCAGCGGCCGTTTTGGCAGTGGTGGGCAGGGGGTGAAGGAGCAGGAGGGGGTGGTGCAGCTGCTGTCGCGCGTGGCGACGGTGGATTGGGAGGAGGTGCGGCGGCCCATGTCCCGGGCGGCACAGTCCATCCAGTGCCATTGGGCCCGGCGCCGCCTCAGCTCCACCAAGCGCTGGGCGGATGTACCCGTTATAAGCCTCCCCGATTCAAGTGTTTCAGATGGCAGTTTGCAGGAAGGGGCGAGCAGGGTGAGGGGTGATGGGGTAGGATGGGGGTTTGGTGGGGAAGGGGAAATGGGGAGAGTGGGGGCGGCATTGAGTGGAGTTAGTGACGTGTCTGCTGGGGCAGGGTCATGTGTGAAGGGGGTGTGAGGCGCCATGGATTTGGTCAACTTCCCAGAGCACAGGTCCATGTGCTTGATAGGGTTTACCGGTAGGCCTTGGTAGGCAACTGGGTTAATGTAAGCCTCATTTTGTTTTTTCCCTGCACATGTATCTGTCAGCTCTTGTTGTACAATAAAGGCATCTCTACATTATTTATGAGCAACTAGCCTACAACACCTAATCCTAGGCCGGCTCTAAGAGGAGCAAAGAGCAGGGGACGACAGCAGTCAGCCACCCCCAGCTATTGCCCCCATGCGCACAAGGCTAACTCGGAAGGGATGCTGCAGTGCACTGGAGTGCTGCACTGCCCTACAGGCAATGGGCCTGTGTTCAAAGCATATGGGGAAAACCTCTAACCCGTGCGTTTACAAGAGAAACAAACGCACGGCTCATAAACGGGGGGTTGGTGAGCGCAGTGACTAAAACGAGGGCGGAATGAGTCTTTGGCTAAGCCCGTGCACAATGATGCGCTCCCCCACAAACAGGTTCGGTATAGTCACAGCCGCAGGGATGATAGAGCGCCCCTGCAGCCACACGATCTTCGAGCCGCGGCTCGAAAACACCTTCAACTTGCTGCCCTCGGCGGTCGGCAGTAGACTGTCTTCCCGCAGCGCCTTCAGATCCGCTAAAGTGTAGCGCGCGTCGGGTATAAGATGGTATTTAAGGATGCGGTTGAAGTGCGGGTAATCGTAGCCGACGGCGTCCGCCAGCACGCGGAAGCCGCTCAGCGGAAGGAACAGCGTCGCGGAACCTCCTCTCCGCGCGTCGACTGATGGGCGGACAGCGGGAGGGGGTATGAGGGGGGAAGGTGAGGGGGGAGAAGGGGGGATGGTAAGGAACGGTGAAACCGGGAGTGAAGTGGATGGAGAGCGAAACAGAATGCGAAGAGAGGGGCGTAATGAGCGCGGACCAGGGAGCTGCGGATGATTCTCGTGAAGCGCGGACGAGGGGGCGCAAGGGCGCGGGATGGGTCATGCGCGGGGCGGGTCAAGTAATTGCAGCGTATGAAAGGGTACGCTTTCAACAAAAATGCGAGTAAGCGACGGAGCTCAAGGCGTGGCGGCCACGCGGCGGGAAGCCGCTGACGGGGTGATACGGACAGAGCGCTTGGAGGAAAGGCGCGTTGGCCATGGCTGTCCGCGGCGCCTTCACCAACAAAGCCGTCATCGCTCTCGCCTCTTCGACTGCGTCCGCAGAGTTCGTCGTTTTCTTGCCGATCGCCCCGGCTTCGGTAGTCGTCGCCACCGATGGCGATAGCCGCCTCCCGCCCTCCGCTCCTCCCCCCGCCAGCACTGCAGGTAACGTCAGCGCAACAAGCAGCCAAAACGCCGATACCCTCCCGATGCTACCCATTGCGCTCTTGAGTAATGGCTGCTGATTGTAGCACTTCGCCTGTTGCGCTAAATAATATTTGAAAGCCTTCCAGAAGGTGATCGTGGCTGTCGTCAATCTCAAGTGCGCCGCATCCGGCACTTCACGATTTTAGACGTCTATCTAGCTCGTATCAATGCACTAGCGAACTTTATGAGTATATCATTCGTCCATATCGTCGCTAATGCACCGTCCGTGGAGTCCGGGCTGCTAGTAGTACAGTCTGCTCTGCAACATCGCATCGTCTTATCACGCCTGATTGCCCCTGCTGCTTCTAGCCCTCGCCACCAACCCAAGGGAGCGGTGGATGGATGTGGTGCGACGAATTTGGTCGGAACTTGGGGCCTGGGGATTAGGGATGGGACTAGAAATGTCGCCACTAGGGCGACTCGTCGAAATAGACGCTGGAAACGACGAGGAATGTCTCGCAGATACATTCGAATGGTTGATCAGATAGCAAGGAAAAATACTGGACCGTCCGATGGCCGATGCCAAGACGTCGATAAGGTGATATCATCGTCCGATCGAGGCCGACAGAGCGCCTTGCGATCATGCAGCTCAGCGACAATGTCAAGAACCACACGTGAACAGCGACATGAGTGAATTTTCAAGCATGTGCCGCAGCTGGCGCATCCTACTCGATTACACTGCACTCGCTTACAGACCGAAGCATCTGATGTGTATACATTATGCTTCAGTCTTACTGCTACCTAAGTTTCACCCATTACCAAACCTGTCTTCTACCTCGATATATAAGCTCAAACGCAATAATCACACAAAAGCTGTAAGCACACTGCCTGTTCTCTAGTTCAAATACATTAATCACGAGGTAACGGTGCACAAACAACATTCTGCTGATGATTGCAAATTCCCTGTACAATTACTGCATAGCACATCTCCACCAGCTCTCTGAGCAGCAGGGCACAGCTAGTGCAAAGCATCATCCCACACCATGTTCGGGAATCCACAAGCTGTGCGTCCTTCCGGGCATTTATAATATCAACAACACGCTATTACTACACCCACTGGGCACTGCTAGTAGCAATACCTGTGCAGCTCTTTGCCCTGGCTGAGAAGCTTCAGCTTGCGCACAGCCACTGTTTCAAGCTGTCTGATCCTTTCTCTAGAGACTCCATATCTGCAGCAAAAACAAAAACAGAAGTGAGCACCCCATACCAAGTACGGTACATACAGGACGCGAAAGCAGTAAACACTTACCGCTGGCTGATCACATCAAGAGTCATTGTCCTTCCATCAGTCCTCCCAAATCCAAATCTTAGGCGAATTATGTCCCGTTCTCGAGGATCAAGCTGATCAAGCAGCACATTCTTCACATTGGCCTGAAAGCAGAGCACAGCACATGAGAAACCAAAACTTCACAAAAAACAAAATTGACAGGGAAGTTACACGTGAATCAGTCTCACCTGCAAGAAATCCGCTTCCAGCTCTTTCCAGGGGCGAGTTTCCGCATCTGGATCTGCAATAAACTGAAAAGAGATGCCGAAGTTATAGAGAGTCATGACAAAGGACGACCACATTGTAAAAAAGAAAAGAAAAGAAAAAACACGAGTACTCACGTTGTCCATTGTTGAGCCCTCTTCCATGCGGTTGTTTGGCGAGACTTCCTCGTTCATGGACCTAGTCTTGTACTTGAGCTGCAATATACCAGACAAAACGTTCAGACGTTGGACCATGTAAACCAATACAAGAAAGGCGTTACAATACACCCAAGATATCACTGACCTTGAGGACGTTGTCAATTTTCCGCTCTGACAGTCCCAAGGTGTTGGCGAGATTCTGCGAACAGGCGGACGCATTAGAATCAGTTTCAGGCTGACCTCAAGTGGTTCGCAACGAATCTGGCGGTACATTACTCACCTTGACGTTGGCTAGTTCCCCTTCGCTCGCAAGCTGTGCCTTCGCCCTCCTCAATCTTCCGAGGGTCTCGTGCACATGGACAGGCAGTCTGATCGTGCGGGAGTGGTCGGCAACAGCCCGTGTTACCGCCTGAAAGACAGAAGTGGGAAAGAATGAAGTCAGCAAAACTGGAAACAGCAATTCCACGGATAGATTGAGTTCGAAGGTATGACAGCTCTACCTGTCGGATCCACCAGTGAACGTAAGTGGAGAGCTTGTAGCCTCTGTTCGGGTCGAACTTCTCCACACCTTTGGATAGGCCCATTGTTCCAGCCTGAAAAGCAAACCGGCCAGCGTAATTGAACTGAGATTCACTTCTTACTCGAATGAACGAGCAGACGTAGTATGGAGTCACCTACCGCGACCAGATCGGAGAGCTCAACCCCACATCTTAGGTACTTCTTCGCCACAGAGACTACCAGACGCAAGTTAGTCGCAAGCAGCTTATGCCTAGCCAGCTCCCCCTCTCTCAGCTTCCTCCTCAGTGAGTATACCGAGCAGCCTTGTGCCTTCGCCCACTCGGAATGGGTGGCCTCACGACCAAGCTCCTCAGACACCCTGAAACATCAGAACGGTAGACGTTCAGCATCAAGGCAGAAGGCACAGACGAAACGAGGAGAGAAGAGGTATCGAGGCCTACCTGGCTCGTAGATTTTGGAGCTCCACAGACTTCTTGACTCTCCTGGACAATTCAATCTCTTCTTCCCTTGTCAGCAGCTTGGCCTTCCCAATTTCAGTAAGAAAAGTTGCAAGAAAGTCGCTCGACGACTCTTTCTCGCTAACGTCCCCTTTGCCTTTGCTTTCTAGCCCCACACGGAAAACATTAGCATCTGCTGTCTGGTCTTGCAAATCTCGGTTGCGTCTGGCCTGCATACGGCGCTTCCTCGCAGACATGCTTTTGGTAACAACTATGTTTCTGCTAGCCTTCCTGGAGCTGCTAGCCGGGAGTGGTTCAGGGACATTCTCAGAGAGCTCAGGATCCTTCGAAGGAAGCTCCCACTGTGATTCCAGCAACGAGCGTTCAGTCTCCTCGTCACTCAGTTCCTTTGTGAGGGCAGCTTCGTCCACCCCTTCCGGAAACTCACAGTCCAAAAGGAATTCTCTCCCGTATAAAGAATTTTCGAGCATCAAAAGGTCAGAGACTGACGACAGGGGAGAAATGGTCGTAGCCAAAGGACTAGGAAGGGTAGTAACTGCTTTTACTGGCTCTGGGCGTTCCTGTTTTCTGCGGAAGTAGGTAGCATGTGGAGACTTGGGTGAGCGTAGAGCACAGACAGCACACTGCTTGCACACTTGGGAGGCGGATGGTGGGCACTTAATAGTTAGTGGGATGGAAGTGCCATGAAGCTCGCTGGCAGAGGATGAAGCAACTACGAGTCCACCGACTACGGGAGTGGTGAGAGAGGCAGCCATGGCTAGCAGATGGCAGGCACAGTTGACCTTCCGTTCTGAGTGTGGGGATTGGAGATCCTGTAGGTCGGAGGGCCTCGTCTCTCGGGGGTAAGTCACCCAGCCGACCTAACTGGATGAAAGACCTAACTTACTCTTCAGGAGAATAAAGAAGCAGGTGCTTCTCTCAGGGGCCACCAGTGTCAAGCGGACTGCTGCAACTGGAGGGGAGCCAGTTTGGTTGGCTTGGCGAGGCGAAGCATGCACCGTCACTGCTCCGTCATGCTCAAACGACATTTTGAGATTCCGGCGCATCTGAACCGTACGATGCAGCAGATCGAGAGTAACGGAGCATGGAGAAGTATCGACGAATTCCAAGGGGATTGCTTGGAGCTTCTGTGTTCTTATTGGTTGTTCCGATTTCTTCGTGGAAGGCATGAATTCTGAAGCGAATGAGCGACGATGGGGGGGATTTGCGACGCGCTCTGGGGGATGTTCATTCCTCATCCCGCATTGGCTCATGTCCAGGTGGCGTCTTCTTTATGCAGCTAACAGATAACGAGCTTCGAAATACACATTTCTGCTTACTAAATTTGAACTTACTAGAATGAACTAGTTGTAGTCATATTAGCAGTCTTCCCCAAGTGAAGTGACAATCTTCCTTCCCACCCTTGTCCCTTCCAAAAACGCGATATAGTAAAATATTTATGTGGAAATTGTGTAAAAATAAGTCCACTACAATGTTTCCAAATCTAGAATAACATGCAAGTATAATGAAGTACGCTGGATGTCAAAACATATTGTTATGTTTCTTACTCTAGGTTATGCAGGGTCACACCTAAGAGGATACAACCCAACTCTCTCGACATCCTTGTACCCCCTCCCTCTTACCTAATCCACACTCATTCCTCACTTAGCTGGTGATTCTAACATGGTATTAAGAGCACAATGCTCATTAGGACCGAATTTTTAAAAGGGCCCACCACTACTATTTCGATCTACTGCCCGAGTCGCGCCCCTAGGAGAAACGCGAAATTCGAAACCGTGCTCTAGGCGAGACGGTTCCTTTTTCTGCCCTAGACGCGATTTTCCTTCCTAGTCACGTGCGACCCCCCCTGACCGCGCCCTAACTGCCAGTACAGCCCGCGTAGGCCCGTCGAGAAGCCCGTACAGCCCACGTAGGCCCGTCACGAAGCTCGTACAGCCTGCGTAGGCCCGTCGCGAAGCCCGTACAGCCCGCGCCAGGCCGTCACGCAGCCCGTACAGCCCACGTCAGGCCCGCACCCAACTCGTAAAGCCCGCACTAGGCCCGCACGCAGCCCTTACAGCCCGCGCCTGGCCCGCACGCGGCCCGTGTTCCTGCTGCACTCGCTATTGCTGCTACTTGCTGCAGCTGCTCCTCCTTGCTATTGCTACTACAGCTAGCGCTACTCACTGCTGCTGCTACTGACGCTGCTCTTGTTACAGCTAGCGCTACTCACTGCTGCTGCTACTGAAGCTAGTGCTGCTACAGCTAGTGCTACTGCTTCTGCTGCTACTATGGCCCTTGCTACAGCTGCTACTGACTGAAGCTACGGCTGCTCCAGCTAGTGCTACTACTGCAGCTCCTACTCTAGCACTTGCTACAGCTAGTGCTACTTCTGCAGCTCCTACTCCAGCACCTACTACAGCTAGTGCTACTGCTGCAGCTCCTACTCTAGCACTTGCTACAACTACTATTGACTGAAGCTACTCAAGCTACAGCTAGTGCTACTCCCGCAGCTCCTACTCCAGCACTTACTGCAGCTGCTCCTGACCGAAGCTACTGCTGCTACAGCTAGTACTACTGCTGCAGCTCCTACTATTTCACTTGCTTCAGCTAGTGCTACTGCTGCAGCTCCTACTCCAGCACTTGCTACAGCTGCTCTTGACTGAAACTACTGTTGCTTGACTGAAGCTACTGCTACTACAGCTAGTGCTACTGCTGCAGCTCCTACTACTGCACTTGCTACAGCTAGTGCTACTGCTGCTCTGCCACTGTGTCCGAACCCTGCTGCTGCTACTGCAACTGCTACTGCTATAGCTAGTGCTACTCGGTCTACTGCTGCTGCTGCCCGAGCCGCCCTGATACTGCTGCTACTGGAGGGAGTACTGCTGGGAGTGGTGGAGGTGCGGCCTCCCACCCCCACCGAGCCGCCTTGCTGCTGTTACTACTGCTGCTGCTGCTACTTGTGCTACTGGAAGTGGAGGAGGTGCTGCTGGGAGTGTAGGAGGTGCTGCTGGCGCTGTAGGAGCTGGAGGTGCTGGACCTACTCCTAATAGTCACTGTCTGTCATGGCCACTTCCGCGGCAGTCGCTGCGGCCAGGGGTGGACAGCAGCGGGCACTGCTTCTCCCGGACGACCCCACCCCTCGGCAGCTTCGTAAGTGGGTTATTCAGCGAGGTCGTCCTGGTGGTGGAGGTTATCATTATGTTAAGACCGCTGCTCTTGGTGTTAGTGAGTCTCCTGCCACTCCAGGTGTTAGTCAGTCTGCTGCCATTCCAGGTGTTAGTGAGTCTGCTGCCACTCCAGGTGCTAGTGAGTCTGCTGCAGCTCTAGGTGCCCGTGAGTCTACCGACGCTCTAGTTGCTAGTGCGTCTACTACCACAGGTCCTGCCTCAGGTGAGGTCTTGCACACTTTCACGCTTGACTCCGGCGCGTCACGTTGCTTCTTCCGTCATTGCACCACAGTCACACCACTCACAGCACCTGTCCCAGTCTCACCGGCTGACCCCTCTGGGGGCCCAGTGGTTGCGAGAACCTCCACGGTCCTCCCTTGTCCAGCAGTCCCCTCCGGCTCTTTGTCAGGTCTCCACCTCCCCACGTTCTCGACGAACTTGGTGAGCAACGCTGCCATTCAGGATGTCTGGGTTGATACCTTTATTCCTGGAGGGCAGCGTGTGGCGATCTGTACGTGCTCCCGGACTGGCCGTCACCTGGCTACGTTCACTCGACAGCCTGGGTCCAGTCTGTACACACTGACCACTGCGTCTGCACAGGTGGCTGAGTAAGGTCAGGTAGCTACGTCGAGTCGAGCGTCTGCGTCAGGGCAGTTAGCTGCGTCTTGCTCGTGCCGAGTACTCACGCGCGAGACTCAGCGCTGGCACCACCGTCTTGGTCACCCCTCCTTGCAGCGTCTGCGGCGCATGCACTCCCGGCTCCTGGTCACTGACCTCCCTGAGAACCTGCCCCCCTTCCCGCACTCACTTGCGCCGCCGTGCCTTCCTTGCGTCGAGGGGCGGCAACGCGCCGCTCCTCACTCCTCCGAGTTTCCTCCGACCACTGCTCCTCTGCAGACTCTCCACATGGACGTGTGGGGCCCGGCCCCCGTCAGTGGAACGGACCAGGAGCGCTACTTCCTGCTAGTGGTTGACGACTACACACGCTACACCACAGTCTTCCCTTTGCGGCGCAAGGCGGATGTCAGTGGTGTCTTGATCCCCTGGATCCGTGCTACTCGTCACCAGCTGCGCGAGCGGTTTCGGCGGGACTTTCCAGTCCTCCGTCTACACTCTGACAGGGGTGGTGAGTTCTCCTCTCGCGTCCTTATGACGTTCTGCGAGGATGAGGGCATCGCCCAGTCGTTCACGCTTCCAGCCTCTCCGCAGCAAAATAGGATCGCTGAGCGTCGCATTGGCCTGATCATGGAGGCTGCTCGTACCTCCATGATCCATGTGGCTGCTCCCCATTTCCTGTGGCCGTTTGCGGTCCGATACGCCGCGCATCAGCTCAACCTCTGGCCCCGTGTCTCTGCTCCAGAGACCTCGCCCACACTCCGTTGGACGGGACAGCCTGGTGATGCGTCGTCGTTTCGGGTCTGGGGCGCGCTCTCCCTTGTTCGCGATACCAAAGCGAGCAAGCTCTCCCCTCGCACTCTCTGCTGTGTCTTCCTGGGCTTCCCCACCGACGCTCCACCCTGGCAGTTCTACCACCCTGCCTCGCGTCGTGTTCTGTCCTCTCAGGATGTCACCTTTGACGAGTCGGTCTGTTACTACTGACTTCACCCGCACGCGTCCCACCCGGTCCCTCTCGCACCTCTCTTCCTGGTACCAGTCCCCCCCCCGGTAGACCCCCTTCCCCCATAGGGTCCTGCTCCCTCAGGTGTGTCCCAGGTAGACCCACCCCCCTTGGATGAGCCAGTTGAGATCTCTTCTGACTCCTCTGACTCAACTGAGGGGGGTGACGCCGTCGCCGACGACACGGCGACCACTCGCCGCACCTCTCTTCCTGGTACCACTCCTCGCTTAAAGACCCCCCTGGGTTTCCCGCCACGGCCGTCTTCGCCGCCTCCGCAGCCTGCTGCTGTGGACTCTGGAGCTGAGACTACTGGAGCTGGGGCTGGGGGTGGTGAGTCCAGGGGTGCCCGCTCTCCTTGTCTGGCTACACCTCCCGGGTTCCCACCTCTGCCGTCTTTGCCGCCTCTGCAGCCTGCTGCTGTGGATACTGGAGCAGAGACTGAGGGTAC